TGTGAAGAATAAACAGTGGGTGTGTGGTCACCGCCACAGAGGCAGGAGGACGCTCTGTTCCCACACAGCCAGCCCGTTGGCACTGCACCTGGGGACCTGGTGTCCAGCCCTCAACCACCACTGTACTACGTTTTCCCCACCCCAGGACCGCAGCGCTCAGGGGTACTAGGGTTCTAACCCCAAACCCACACCGTCTCTACGTCACACAGGGCTTTGACTTTGGGCATCCGCAGCTGCAGTGTGGGGACAGTAGGACCTGCCCTGACTGGACAGGAAGGCTCAGAAGGACTTTCAGCTCTAGGAACAGAAAATGTCTTGTTCTTGAATCTCTTTGGGATTGAGAGACCAGGACTTTGGTGTCAAGGAGGCAGCATTTGTATCCTGGCTCAGGCTCATGGTGGCTTGGGCAAATGGTTGTACCTCTCTCTGCCTCTGCTAGATCATCTTTAAGTGGGGATGACAGTAGAATCCATCACACAAACTTGCTCCCTGGGAGTGGGCGTGCCTGTTTGCAGAAGGCGCTTCCTCTCTACCAACAGGACGTGTTTCCCTGGTCACAGACCTAGAGTCGTTTGCTGCAGTAAAGCACCACCAGGCTAGGTAAGAGTAGCTGGCGCTGTGAAGGGCAGTGTTGGCAGCCTGTGGTGCCTACCTCACCACCCTGCACAATCGACACGTAAACAGGAGGCAGGGTTGGGCCGAGGTCGCGGGGGTTAGACAAGAGGCTGCCTGAGCATCAGAGGGAAGGCCTTCCAATCTGATGGCCCCGGTGGCCAAGGTGGCCCTACGTAGGTAGAAATGGATACTGGCCTGCCAAGTGCATGCTGAGTTTAGTTTCCTATTAGATAATGGGTCTGTGGTCTCTGCCCACAGTGGTCACCCCCACTCTGCCCTGAACTCCCAGCAGGCTGCTGGGCACTCCAAGCCTCCCTGTGGCCTCCTTACCCCTGAGATTGAGCTGTCTTAGGTCTTGGTCTAGGTGAATCTGTGTTTGCCCACAGGTCTGAGGCTAACTCATACCTCCAAGTTTATGCCTTGGTCCTTGAGAGATGACAGCTCAGTGGGCTGGGAAGACTTTAGGACAGACTTGGTTTTTCCTTGGAGAAGTTTTTTCTGTAGGGAGCATGTGCTTGCCAGAAAGAGAGAGACAGAGAGACAAAAAGAGAAATCATCCCCCAGGAGGGATGACCACATCGCAATCCCTTCTCCTCCATTCTCCTCTTGGTATCTTAGGCACACACACATACGTGCCCGGCGTGGGTTTAAGCCACTGGGCCCGGGACTTGAGCCACGGTTGACTACATGGTACATGGGAGTCCAGGGACACAGCCATTAGGCCAACTACTGGTCCCAGGACAGACTTTTAAGAATTGCTTTATTTAACTTTCTTTCTTTTTAATTTGACCAGAGTGAGAGAGAAAGAAAGAGAGAGGGATACTGAGAAAGCAAACTGCCAGGTCAGGGACTTGAACTGTGGTTGCCCATGTGGGAGTCCAGTGCCTTTAACCACCACGCCACCTACCGGCGCCTCTAGAACAGACTTTTATACTGCGAGCATTTATTGAGCGCTTACAGAATGCCCACCTCTATTGTGAGTACTTTCCTTGGGCTAGCTCATTAACTACCCACAACACTTTCTAAGGTAGGTACATTATGTTTGATTTACAGGCAAGAAAACTGAGGCACGGAGGAGTCAAGTAGCTAACTAGGGGAACTAGAGCTGGAAAGCAGCAGTTTGGACTCCACACTCTCCCATATCATGTGACTTCTCTGTGCCGCCATCAGGGAGGTTTGATGAACACAGGAATGGCTGATGAGGTCTGATGGGACCTCTCCATCTCCCATGCTGGATCAGGGAATGAGGTAGGGAGGTCATTCTGCAAGCAGAAACCTAATAAGTATTTGGGAAGGAATTTCCTTGGCCACAGGAGGCCATTAAGGGGCCCTGGTGTCAGGGCCCTGGTGTCATCACCCATGAGTCCAGGGACTGGCCAGGTCTAGGTCAGGGCCCATGATGAATGAGACACATCCCTGTAGGGTGTCCGAGTGTCCAGGGGGAGTCAAGTTATAGACAGATTGAAACGCTCCAAACAAAACAAGCGGGGTATCTGCCAGCTGGCGGGGGACTGGCTAAGACTGCAGTGGCCTCTGCATCACAAGCTGGAGACACTCTACCTGGGGGATCATGTGGCTGTGTCTGGTGTAGTAGGTGCCCATAAGAAATGCAACATCTGAGGGCTAGCCAGTGTTGTGGTGGTGAAGGTGACAGGATATCTCTCATGGCTGATTGTATAGTTCAAGTCCCAGACCTGGCAGCTTGGAGAACAGGCCAGGCTTGTGTGCGTGAGAGCCCAAAATCCTTAGAGGAGAAGGGATTACAGTGTGGCCATCCCACCCACCCACGGCGGGGGGGGTGCTTTCTCACTTTCCCTCTCTCTCTGGTGAGTGCATGTGCCCTATAGTAAATTTTAAAAAGAAAAAAAGGAAGAGAGAGCAACAAATGGGATTAAACTGGGCCAAATTAGTGTAGGCTAGGCACACAGTAGGCCTTCCCTTAGGGTCATGCTTCTCCCCACACTGCCCCCTTCCGGTGGGCAAGGGCCATGCACAGGGAGACGGCTAAGGACTGCAGACTGAAGCGGCGGAGGGAGGGACTTACTGCCCTGGCCTCTGGCAGGATGGAGTGCCTGGTCTACACTCGCCTCCCACCCAGTCTTGCATCCCTCACTTACATCCAGAGGCAGCCCATAGTTGCTTCTCAGGGCCAAAGTCTGTTTCTGTCTATCTCCAGGCCACGCTATCCAAGCTGTCCAGAGCATAGATGGCCACCCTAAAGCACCCACTCTGTGCGGCCTGGGCCCAGGGCTTTAGAGATGTGGAGTCTGTTCTTCTCAACTGTCCCAAGAAAGAAGCATTACAGTCCCCATTACAGAGGAGGACGGGGGTGTAGGAAGCTGGCCTGAGCCACACAGCTTGCATGCTGGACCTCCTTTCATCCCAGCCTGCTGGGGGCTGACTACATAGAGCAGGCTGTCCCCTCCCAGGGCAGGCATGAAAGCGATGGCCATCTCTCTCCTACCTCACGGGTCAGTTGGGGATAAGGAGAGGCAGAGAGAGATTTAGGATGCCTAATGCTACCAGGCACATCTTCGTGTGGCCACATGACATAGGATAAATGAAGGCAAGAAGCCCCAAGGTAACCACTGCAAAGGCCTGGTATGGGCCGTGCAAGGATTCTGGAACATTTGATAGTGAGCGGGACTGTTCTGGGCCAGGGCACACATGAGCAAGAATGCCCATCTGGGTCCAGCCTGGCCAGTTCCCTGAGGATGCAGGTGACCTGTAATGATAGCCCAGAGGCCAGCCTCGTCCAGGTGAAGATAGAAGTGAGAAAAGGAGCACTTACTGGGCACCCCTGTATACAGTACCCTGAGTGGCGGGGACATGGTCAGGCGGCCACAGTGGGTGGAGAGGAGGGTATAGCAGCCTGGTGTAAACCGGGACCAGACAGGAAGGGTGTATCAGGAGACCCTCCTTGCCTTCGTCCATTTTTAATGCGATAGCAGAATACCTGAGACTAGGTAATTTAGAAAAAGCAGAAAGCTATTTCTCATGGTTCTTGAGGGTACGAAATCAAAGATCTAGGTGCTGATAGATTCGTGCCTGCTGAGAGCCTAGTCTCTGCTTTCAAGATGGTGTCTTGAGCCCTTTTTAAAAAGACATTAAACCCGGGACCAGCACATGGCATAATGGTTACATTGCTGGACTCCCACATGGCTGACTGTGGCTCAAGTCCCAGACCCAGAGGCTTGAAATTCACACTGGGCACGTGTGCGTGTGTGCCCAAGATCCCGAGAAGAGAATGGAGAAGAAGGGATAGCAACATGGCCGTCTCCCCTGGGGGGTGATTTCTCACTGTCTTTCTGGTAAGCACAGGTGCCCTATAGCAAAAATCTCTCAAAAAAAAAAGACATTTATTAACTCACTCAAGAGGGCAGGGCCCTTATGGCTTAATCACTTTTTTTTTAAATGACTTAATCACTTCTTAAAGGTCCTTCCTTGGAACATTAGGCTATGGGGCTCATAGCGTAATGTTTAAGAGAAATGGATCCCACATGGCTGACTGCAGTTCAAGTCCCAGCCCTGACACCTTGAAAACATGCTTTGTGTGTGTGTATATGTGTGTGTCCAAAATCTTGACAGGATGTAGAAATGGAGGAGAAGGGATTGCCATGTGACCACACCCTGATGGAGGGAGGGTACTTTCTCCCTCTGCCTCCTTCTCTCTCTGGTGAGCACATACACTCTCTGGCAATTGAAAAAAATAGTTTTCACCTTTTAATACTATTGCAATGGCAATTAAATGTCTTTTTTTTTTTTCTGTCAGAGAGAGGGAGAAAGCACCCCCAATGGGACATGGTCATAATACAAACCCTTCTCTATTTTTCCAGATGTTTTTTTAGAATTATTTATTTTGGGGGGACCAGAAGTTGGCATAATGACTATGTCACTGGACTTCCATGTAGTTGACAGTAGTTTGAATCCCAGACCCAGTGGCTTAAACTCACACTGGACACGTGTGCGTGTGTGCCCAAGGTCCCAAGAAGAGAATGGAGGAGAAGGGATTGTAGAGTGGCCATCGCCCCGGGAAGTGATTTCTTACTTTCTGTCTCTCTGTATCTCTCTGTCTTTCTGGTGAGCGCATGCACCCTATAGCAAAAACCTCTCAAAAAAAAAAAAAAATTAACTGTATTTATTTATTTATTTATTTATTTAGACCAAACAGAGACAGAGAAAGTGAGAAAGCGAGCCACCAGGTCCAGGACTTAAACAGTGACTGACCATGTAAGAGTCCAGAGCTCTTAACCACCACACCACCTGCCAGCCCCTATTTCTCCAGACTTTTGAAGTCTTAGGCATGCACACAAGCACACACACCTAGCATGTTTTACAAGCCAACAGGGCCAGGATTCGAACCACAGTCAACCATGTGGAATCCAGCTACTTTAACCACTAGACTATGAGACCAGCCCAGCAATTGAATTTCAACATGAGTTTTGGAGGGGACAAACATTCAAAACATAGCACACCCCTTCTTTTACCACTGGGGCTCCAAGAGTTCCAATATTGTAACCAGAGGGGGAGTCACTGAGGGCTCATTGCCCCTCTTCCCCAGATGCTTGTGGTCCCCAGCAACACTGAGCCACTGCGGGTGAGGGCTATTGCTTCACGCCAAGGCCTGCCGCCAAGGAGGATGCCCCAACCACCTGCCAGCTCCAGGCTGCACCATGAGTGATGAGCGGCGGCTGCCTGGCAGTGCGGTAGGCTGGCTGGCATGTGGAGGCCTCTCCCTGCTGGCCAATGCCTGGGGCATCCTCAGCGTTGGTGCCAAGCAGAAGAAGTGGAAGCCTCTGGAGTTCCTGTTGTGCACTCTTGCGGCCACCCACATGCTCAATGTGGCTGTGCCCATCGCTACGTATGCTGTGGTGCAGCTACGGCGGCAGCGCCCTGACTACGAGTGGAATGAGGGCCTCTGCAAGGTCTTCGTGTCCACCTTCTACACCCTCACCCTGGCCACCTGCTTCTCTGTCACCTCCCTCTCCTACCACCGCATGTGGATGGTCCGCTGGCCTGTCAACTACCGGTGAGCCCTCACATGTCTGGTGTTCTGTGTCAGCGGTCATGCAAGCATGGAGCTGGAGACTTATGTGATGTTCCTGTGTGTCATGAGTGTCCTCATGTGGTTGTGTCTTGCCTGGGATGTACTAGGGTGTACAGGGGGCTCAGAAGGGGCTCTTCTGGGCTGCTGGGAGTGTGTGCATGCAGAGGGTACACAAGTGTCTAGTACAGAAATGTTGGTGAGAGGGATGAGTGGTGATGTATGTGGGGATCTCCTCTGCCGGGGCAGGTCCCTACCAGGTTGACTGTGCCCTGACTCTGATGTACCAGGGAGCCAAGGGTAGTTGAGATCTCCTACAAGTCTCCAGAGCCCTGGGGAAACCCTGTGAGTGACACTGGGTCCCTTCATTCTACCCTGCCCCATGCCAGGCTAAGCAATGCCAAGAAGCAAGCTGTGCACACTGTCATGGGCATCTGGATGGTGTCCTTCATCCTATCGGCCCTGCCTGCCGTGGGCTGGCACGACACAAGCGAGCGCTTCTACACCCATGGCTGCCGCTTCATCGTGGCTGAGATCGGCCTGGGCTTTGGTGTCTGCTTCCTGCTGCTGGTAGGCGGCAGTGTGGCCATGGGCGTGGTCTGCACAGCCATTGCCCTCTTCCAAACACTGGCCATGCAGGTGGGACGCCGGACTGACCGCCACACCTTCACTGTGCCCACCATTGTGGTGGAGGACGCACAGGGCAAACGGCGCTCCTCCATTGATGGCTCTGAGCCCGCCAAAACCTCTCTGCAGATCACGGGCCTTGTGGCCACCATCGTTGTCATCTACGACTGCCTCATGGGCTTCCCTGTGCTGGTGAGTGAGAGTATTGGGTTATGGGAGCCTTTCGGGAGGCCTGGGCTCTGAGACAGCTTTGGGAGTTATTTGCAAACCCAGTCCCTTCAGATGAGCATTACCATCATCCCATGTTATAGATTTGGAAGCCAAGGCATCACGACCTGCCTAAAGTCAGGGCAGCCACAGTGGGACTTTAGCCCACATCAGGGGACCACAGAGCCCAAGGTCTTCCTACCACTCTGCAGAGGAGTTTGCTCCCCTCACCTGAGGCCCGTTTGATGCAGATGGTGTGGAAGGTGGGGTAACATGCCCACAGGCTTCCTAGAGGGCCCAGGCCCCAGGGTGGACAGAGGGAGTTTTGGTGCAGCAGGTAGGTAGGGGGCACTGGATCAAGAGGCAGGGCAGGGACAGGGGCAGGACAGGCCTTGAATGTCTGCTGGGGAGTTGCACTTGATCCTGGGAATGGGGTGAGGGGCTGGTCTGAGGAAGGTCTTGCCATCAAGGATCTAGGCCCAGCAGGGCTGGCTGGGGTCCTCTCTGTGAACCGAGACTATTCTGGCTCAAGAATGAAGAGTGAACTCAGCAGCCAAATCCTCCACCCCCAGAGTTCCAGCCAAACCCTTCTAGTCTCACAGCTCCAGTCCAGTCCCTAGTCCAGTCCCCAAAGGGTCGGAAGTGAGACAAGGAGGTGACTTGGGACAAAGACCAGCATGAGAGGCTTCATTTGAGCAGCAGAGCTGGGTTGTGTTCCTGGTCGTTGCAGGACACAAGCTCCAGAAAGGGGATGGTGCAGTGGCAGCCTCAGAGCCAGGGGATTCTCAGGATGTCACCCTTGCAACCCTGCAGCCTCACACCAGCAGGCCTGGCACCCCCCCCACACACGTATACACACACACACACACACAGGGTCCTGCATATAGTCAGCCCTGCTTCCCTAGCTAGCACCCATGTGAAATTGCTCTGAGAACCCAAAGCACCGTGGCAGCCAAGTGGGGACACTTAAGGAGGGGCCCTCCCCAGTTCCTCTTCAGGGCAGGGAAGGGGGTACTATTTATGGAGCCCAGTCCATGTGTCTGACCTGTTAGAAATAGTGTCTGGAGCATGGAGTATTCTTACCCTATTTCACAGATGAAGAAACCAAGACCCAGGGAGGTTTAGCAGCTTTCCGAGGGTCACACAGCCTGCAAATGGCAGGACCAACATGATGTCTGCAGCTTGCATACTTCCACTCTGTCACGGAAGTCACTCTTTCTGGGCAGGTTGGGAGTAGGGTGGAGTAATGACAGCTCTCCTGGGAGAGGAAGATTGAGGGGTTGACCCAAAGGCTGCCTGGCTTGATCCTCTGCCCTTTGAATTTTCTAGACACCAGGAACAGGGGCAGGGCTGAGGAAGAGCTGAGCTGGGAAGAGTCTGGAATAGGCTTGAGACCTGTTTCTCCAAGCCTGGTTTTCCCACTTTATAAACAGGGCAGTAATCCATTCCCACTTAGCTCCTTGGGCAGTCTTCAGAGAAGGGGTGCCCAGTGCTACGCAGTATACTGTGAAGTGCTGCACACATGGCGTTGACTGTTCGTCATGGCAGCCAGGCAGCTCGTGGTGGCAGGGCCTCCTACTGTTCTCCTCTGGCAAGTGGATGGTTGGAACACCATACAGGTGGGAAAACAGGCTGGGAGGGAGATGTGATGGGGCAGCCCTGCCAGGTGCCAGGACGAGCCCTGTGTCCACAGGTGGTGAGCTTCAGCAGCCTGCGAGCAGATGCCTCGGCACCCTGGATGGTGCTCTGTGTGCTGTGGTGCTCCGTGACCCAAGCCCTGCTGCTGCCCGTATTCCTCTGGGCCTGTGACCGCTACCGGGCCGACCTCAAGGCTGTCTGGGAGAAGTGCATGGCCCTCATGGCCAACGATGAGGACTCAGATGATGGTGAGGATGGCCTGAGAGTGGCCCCTGTGGAGAGTGGCATCTGGATGGAGTCACTGGGTCAGTGGGAAAACAGCTGTCAGGTGACCTTCACCCCCCAAAGGCACTTAGGTGACTACTCCTTTCTCAACCCCCTGTATCATCCCCAAATGTACTTGAACCCTAAGGGGCCCAAGCTGGGTATCCAACAGGGCCTTCTATCCTGCTTGGCTGACCGCTTTCAGTGATCAGATTAACAGAGGAGCAGTGAGCACCAGATTGAATGCCTCGGCTGAGCTCCCAGCCTCACTCCCCAGACAACCCCCAAGTCTGACTCCTTTCAGCAATAATAATATTAGACTAAACGAGCCCCTACTATGAACCAGGCACTGACAACTCCTTGCATGTATACTTTCGTCCCCCAAAGCTCCTGAGATAACCTAAGGTCTCACCCTCACATCCTAAATGAGACAACTTCTCAGTCTTACAGCTAAAGGGTGGCATGGCCAGGATTTGAACTTGAGACCTCACCTTTTCCTTTTTTAGCTAACCAGCTCCCTACCTGTGTGTGCGTGTGTGTGTGTGTTTATGTGTGTGTGTGTGTGTGTGTGTGTGTGTGTGTTGGGAGAGGTCCCTGGGATTCCCTCCCAAATGCCCTCAGGTTTCCATGGCCTCAAGCCTCTGCCCTATCCTGCAGAGACCAGCCTGGAGGGTGGTATTCCCCCAGACCTGGTGTTGGAACGCTCCCTCGACTATGGCTATGGAGGTGACTTCGTGGCCCTGGACAGGATGACCAAGTATGAGATTTCTGCCCTGGAGGGGGGCCTGCCCCAGCTCTACCCACTGCGGCCCTTGCAGGAGGACAAGATGCAGTACCTGCAGGTACAGACAGGGCAGGGCAGGAGAGGCTGCCTATGTGGGTGGTGGGCTATTCTGACCTCCCCAAGGCTTTTCATCTCTGAGCTCATGTCATGCCTGGCTGCATTTCCGGAGAGTGTTTGTCACCCTCTGTGGATGGGTTGGCTGAAATCATAGCCTGCAGGTGAGCGCAGTGGGTCACCTGGTTCCCGTGTGCCTCTCACTCCAGGATAGCTGGCCAAGGCACCTGTGTTATTTCCTTCAGGCTCATTACCCTCGTAGCCCCTTCAAACAGCCTTCTTCCCCAACCTGCCCAGCTGCAGACGCTATGCTCCAAAAAATTATCACGTGCTCCGGATCTCACAGCTCCCAACCAGGCTGTTGTAGCCGAAAGCTTAATCCTTGACCCACAGGCCATCCGGGCCCAGGTCTGGGAAGCTGGCCCTGGTCTGGGAAGCGTTGGTCTGAGTTTCTAGGAGGGCAGCCCGTAAGGTTAAAGCCCACGCGTCCTGACAGGTCCCGCCCACGCGGCGCTTCTCCCACGACGATGCGGACGTGTGGGCCACCGTCCCCCTGCCCGCCTTCCTGCCACGCTGGGGCTCTGGCGAAGACCTTGCCGCCCTAGCACAACTGGTATTGCCCGCCGGATCGGATCGGCGCCGCAGCAGCCTTTTGGCCTTCTCCGAGGATGCACCCCCCTTCCGCCCACGCCGCCGCTCCGCAGAGAGCCTGCTGTCACTGCGCCCCCCGGCCCTGGACGGCAGTCCGCGCCGCGACCACGATTCGCCGCCCAGCAGCCCGCGTCGCCGCCCGGGTCCTGGAACACGCTCCGTCTCGGCCTCGCTACTGCCCGACGCCTTCGCCCTGACGGCCTTTGAGCGGGAGCCGCAAGCCCTGGGCCGCCCGCCCGCCTCGCCCGGGCCCTTCCCAGTGGCGCCTGTCACCCTAGACGACTCGGAGGCCGGCGAGGCCCCGACGACCCCTGGCGGG